TGGAGATCGTAGGCAAAGCTCTCTCCGGGCTGATTCATTTTACCAGTCTTTTTCTGTTATTCTCACCTGTTAGTTAAAGGCTCTTAGAGTCAAAGAAAGTAATGGAGGGAGATAATACTGTACAGAGAGCTCTTTCTTCAGCACTGCAGGGATACTCGTGGGAAAGCACAATGGGATACACATGAACTGTAGTTGACACTGGTGTGCAGGTCACCTGTGGAGATGCCAGGCTTCGGAGGCATAAGCTTAAGCAAGTGAGATGCGAATATACGTTGTAAAGGAGCTGTGGTCAAGGAAGGCGTATCAATCACTCTGCAATCTTCAGATCCCTGGAATCTTGAAAAATTAACACAAGAAATTTCTCAGTTGCTCTTGTTACTCGACTGAGGCTGGAGGGAGCTTATGGATGACAGTGTAATCCACACTTAGGGATGATAGTTGCTTCTCCTCTTGATTCTCCTGGTTCAAACATTTCAAGATAACAACCAAACCAATTTCCACCAGCAATGAAGAGAAACTCTATTACCAATATATACTGTTGGTTCCTGACCAAACAGCAGAGCTTCCACTACTTAAAAAACCCTCAAACTGTCTATGAAATGTATTTAAATGTCTTCATACCTATTGCAGAACAAAACTACAACTTAGGGTATTATTATTATTATTATTATTATTATTATTATTTTGGCAGTGCTGGGGCTTGAAACCCAAGGCCTTTGTACTAACCTACATTTCCAGCCCTTTAAAGAAGTCTTTTGTTTTGAGATATAGTGTCACTAAGTTATTTTCCCTGGCTGGGCTCCAATTTATAATCCTCCTGACTCAAGCTCCCAGAGTTCTGGGATTGTTGGCATGCAACATCATGCTCAAATAAGGATCTGTCTTAGTTACTTTCCTTGTACTAAGACCCAGTACCTGGCACCTACAATAAAGGAGAAGTTTTTCACTCAGAGTTTCACAAGTGTTGGTCTGTGGCTGGCAAGATCTAAGTTGAAACAGCATGGTGAACGGGTGTGGGTAGAGGCCAGCTGTGCATCTCATGCAACCAAGAAACAGAGAAGGAAGTGAGGAGCCTGTGGGGGAGACACACTCTTCCAGGTTAGCAACCAGTGACTCAGCTTTTCTGAGAGGCTCCACGTCCTCACAGCACATTTAGCACATTCAGCGTAGCACCCCAGGATCCCATCAGCGTCATGAGGCTTCAAGGGGACACCCCGGATCTAATGCACACCACATCTTAACTTCTCATATTAATCATGATGTCCATGTATCAGGTACGTGGTGTCCCTCTGCTGAAAGAGGGAAGCAGTCATTCATATTGCACTTGTATCAAAGACGTGAGGATTCCAGCATGAGCAGAGAGCACGAGAAGATGTAAGAAAAAGGTTCCCTGAAGAGAAATTTGGGATATGTAAGAAGATGAATTTTTTTAGCACTTATACTTTGAGATCAAGCAAACAACTTCAAAGTCAGTGCAAATTTTTATGTCTCATGTTGTGGAAAGGAGATTCCATACCCAAGAAAATGTAAAGTAAGAATGGCAGTCACTTGGCTGCTCCTGAAAATTTAAATATATGGAAAAATAAATACTGTCTTTGAATTTTAAAGGAAAAATTTGAATTGACTTATCTGCCAGATTGTCTTGTTCCCAGCAGCAAGCCAGTACTTTTGAACTCAGTTCACTTAAAATGTGATAAGCTGTAGCAGCTGAGTTTTAGGCAGGTTTCCCTTATGAAATGTTGAGACTGGGCACATGCTGTGGGAAGCTGATTTGGCTCTGACTCTTCTTGTTCCTTGGGTTTCTCCTTGCGATCGGTCAATGCCAGCAGACTTCTGAGAGGCAACACCTTTCTACCGTACCAACATAACATTGCTCTGTTACAAGGTATTCCTTTCCAAATCATAGGTTTCTAGGGTGAATTAGGGATTTAATGAAAATTCCTTAATTTTCCTCAGTCTGAAAGAAGGTCAGTTTCAACTTATAGTCCACTTTGTTGTTTGTAAGCATCAACAGAGAAAATTTTAGGTCGAAGGAAATTCTTAAATAGTGATTATTCATTAACTCATAGAATTCAGAAGTCCTCCTCAGGATAAATACATATACATGTATGTATGGAAATATTAGAAGAAAACACACCAAAAATTAATACTAATTATAAATAAGTACCTTAAAAATTTTTTTGTATGTGCACCTTTTAAAATCTGATAAATATTATAATGTGGACTTAAATGCTGTAAGAGGACATTTTGATAAACAGAAAAGTTCAATATTTTTAAAAAAGCATTTGGAATCAATAGCAATTGGGATCCCTTTGGACTGTCACCATGTCCATAGGACCAGAAACTCAAGATCCTAATGGCTGTGTCAGTGTGAGTGACACTGAAGAAATGAATTTGTGCAGGCCAGGTAATTTGTCAGGACTCAGGCTCCTCACCTATGACAGGGAGGTCAAGTGCCATGGCTTCATCCAGTTCTAAGGTGACTAAGTTCTGTTGTGGACTTACCACATTGTAGGCTATATTAATTGAAAATTCTTTGGCTCTGAGCAACAGAAGTCTTTTTTTTT